AGGAATGTGATGCCTCAGCAAAAGAGGTTATTTGAAGGCAGCATAAATGAAGATTATCAAAACAAACAGTGACATGTCCCATTTGATACTGAGACCATTTAAATATCACAAGGACTAAAGAAATGTATAGCAATGTGACTTTGATTTATTCCACCAGGGTCTTTTAAAGTTAGCTTGAGCAGTAAAAGTCATTACCAGACAGTTTCACAACCACTGAATAAGCAACCATCTACTGTTGAGACATTAGAAGCTGTTGCACAAAGTGTGCAGCTGCTTTCAGCTGAACTCTGCTTCGGCCCACAGAGATTCAAATCAATCCTAATGACAAAATGCTGTCACCTACAGCAAGAACAGGCAAATTCCCTGTGCCTGGTACTTCCCAGGCATGTTCACTCAGTTCACAGGACCACAGAATGGTTTGTGCTGGAAGGAATCTTTCAAAGATCAGCCTGTTCCAACCCCCTGCCATGGACAGGGACACCTCCCACCAGCCCAGGGTGCTCTAAGCCCTATCCAACCTGGCCTGGAACACTCCCAGGGATGGAGCAGCCACAGCTGCTCTGGGCAACCTGTGCCAGTGCCTCAGCACCCTCACAGCCAAGAATTCCTTCCTAATATTTAATCCAAATCTCTCCTCTATTAGTTTAAAACCATCCCACCTTGTGCTATCACTATCTGCCCATGTTAAAAGTTACTCTCCCTCTTTTTTTATTCAGCAACTCAGTAATACTTTCCTTTTAAATCCATTAATTCATTGGGCAAATTTTTGAAACAGAAGCATGAAGACTGAATCGTGTGTCAAAGACTTGCTTTAATGTCAACTTCTGTTCGGTCTTTCTACAATGCCACAGAAGCATCACAGTAAAACAAAATCATAATGGTCTTGTTAAAGCTTATCACACTCAGCTGACTGCTCTCCCCATTGAATTTCTTCTAAAATCAGTGGGACACACTGTGTCACCTGCTGAGAGAATTCAGCCCTATAGAAAAGTAGAGACAGGCAGGCTCTCAGGGAGGCAGAGCAGATGAATTTAGATCATATAATAGAGCTGACTAACTGCAAAAAAGTAAGGAAAATCAGATCATACAAGAATGACTCCAGATTTGGTATTCAAATGTCATTTCTTTTGTCTCTTCTTTCAGAACAATTTTAGAGTGTGGGTGTTTTTAGCACCTAGTGCTTAGAGTGGGATGGGTAAGAGGTTGGCTGAATGATGAGGTTGGCCAAGTGCTCAGTTGCTCAATATTGAGACATTTGAGCCCCTCAGACTCCCAGATTAACAGTTATTAATCCTTTCATAGAAGCATAAAATCTCTTAGGTTCAAAAATACCCCTAAGATTACAGAGTCCAACCATTCCCCAGCACTGCCAAGGCCACCACTAACCATGTCCCCAAGTGCCACATCTACACAGCTTTTAAATCCCTGCAGGGATGGTGACTCCAGCACTGCCCTGAGCAGCTGTGCCAGGGCTGGACAGACATTTAGATGAAGCAATTTTCCTTAATATACAATCTAAACCTCTCTTGGAGCATCTTGAGGCTGTTTCTTCTTCATTTGTGTATCTCCCAAGTGTAGAGCTTTCCCATATATCTAAATACTTCTTGCATACACCTGAATCAGCCTTTGGTAACTCAGGAGAAGGTTGGGCAGCTGCACATTGGGGGTTTTTGGAGTGTTTTCTAAGTTTTGATGTGACTCTTTTTTGTGGATGTGCTTAAAGAACTGGAGAACATTTCTAGTTATACTGTGCAAGCCTAGAGGTAATTTGCACCTCAGAAGCTTAAATTCATTGAGTCTCCAGGAAACATCACCCTCCCTTTCATGACCAAAGCTGCAGCCTGGCCCAGGATTCACACCAGACACTGGATTTCTCCTGGACATATAAATCAGTCTGTGCTCTGTCAGAGTCCCAGAGCAATCTAAAGAAATGCTGACTCTTGTTTTCTTGTTACTGGAATGAACTATTTGTAATTCTTTCTGTGTAAAATGAGAGTTTCCAGAGCGAAGAGGACTGACTTTGCAGCAAATTACCCCACAGAGTATTTAAAAGCTTATGTTAAAAATTAAAAAGGCAAAAAGACATCATTAAGGGCATCTCTGACTGCAGATAAAGCCAAAGCAGTGACTGCAGGACTGAGATGGATAAAATGGGGCTGTCTGCCTCATATATGCCTTTACCAAGACTTGGAAGTGCACTAGGAGACTTCTACAGCTTTTTTCCTCTCTTTTCCTCCTTTTCCTTCTGTACCTCTCACCCAGGTATCCAGTGAAAAGCTTTTACAAACAGCAATCAGATACTCAGCCACTAAAGCTACCAAGAGACTGAAACCTTTGTCTCTTCTACAATTTTGACATGGCTTTTTTCTTTCCAACTCTTTTACACCTCAGCTTCTTTACTCACCATGTAAGTTCTCCCTATCATCTCCCTGGATGCTAGTTAAGAAGGAAGGAATGCAGAAGCTTCAAGGGACTCTATCTCTGGGATTACCCTACTATGTGGATTGTCTTTGAGGCCAAAGTCTCAGTGTCCTGGGCTCCACGTTGGCCCCATGAAGCTATGAAGAACTGGGAGCTTTGGGACTATGCAAACACCAAGTGTTGTGCGTTCCTGAGCTCCCACCTCAGTTATGTAGGGATCTGCAGCTCAGGTGTCCAGCAGAGCTGGAGAGAACCACCACCACATCAGCTGAGGTGCTGAAGTCCCAACAAAGCTGTAGAAAACACAAAGGTTTTCAGCAGGTACTGACTGAGCTCGGAGAGTATCTGAGGGGGTTTAGGGCTCCCTGGCTTTCTGCTCTGGAGCTGAGCTCTGAGGCCTCCAGCTGAGCTTGCTAGTGGCCTGCAAGCTCTGGGAGTCCACATCTAATTTTATTTAAAGTACTTCTATTATAAAGGTTAGTTAATTAGAATCATAGAATTATAGAACCATCAAGCTTGGAGAAGACCTCTAAGATTGAGTCCAAACATAAACCTGCCACTGCTGTAACCCTTAAACCCTAAACCATATCCTCCAGTGCCACATCCAAACACCTCTTAAACACCTCCAGGGATGGTGACTCTGTCACCTCTCTGGGCAATCTATTAAATTAAACTTATATAAATTAAAATTTTTTTCTCCCATCTTAGCACAAATCAAAACCTCAAAATTAAGCAATTAAGATTCTGAAAGTAAATACTCCAGAAGTACTTCCAGAAATTGGCCAGGGTGTTTACTTGTGTGTTCATCATGTTGAACATCTAACAACAGCATTACCAGCAGTACTCTGGGAGATACTCAGGTAGAATAAATGCTGCCATAGTTTGTTCTTTCTGTCTGGCAATGCAATAAAACCCCTGCTGCAGAGATGGAAAATAAGGCCTAACACAGGAAACTCCATAAATATAGAATAAAATCAATAGAATAAGAGGTTCAGGATAGACTGTTGTTGCCTGTAACACAAGTACACCCAAGGGCATAACAAATACATCTTCTGGTTCTCATCCTTCACAGCACCTCAGCACCTGATTCAATGACAATTAGGAGTATAAACTTGGTGCAAAGAGGTCATGCTATATTTAATGCAGTATTTTGATTTATTTTCACTACGGCAACTATCATTTACAAGTAATTTGAACGTAGATATAAATAATACTGAGACTAAAAATTGGACAAATGGGCCTGATGTTCTGGTACAGAATGTAATGCTACAAAACTTGATATTGTGTCACACCAGTAGGGCCAGTTTGGAGGTCTGTGCTGTTATCACTTACCATGACAACCCCTCCAGACTGCTCTGCAGTGCACATGCTCATGATGGGTGCCATGCCAATGGTGGTCCCTTGGAAGTACACCCCACTGCAGGAGGGAGGGAGAGGAGAAGAAGAATCACACAGTCACCATTCAATGCTAAGATACCTTCCTAATATTTTCAGCCTTATATTTCTGCCAATCTCACACCAAGGTCCCATTTCAAATGTGTCAGCTCCTCACATTGGCAGGTTTAAAACAAAGAAGAGCACGGATTAGCCATGCTGAGCCAGTGAACTGACACCAACACCATCCCTGCCCCAAGAAACATCCATTTGATCACCATCCTTTAGGTTTACTGCTGTAACAAGAATCTTCTTTCCTTTCTTTTTGCTCCTGCCTGAAGCTGAGACTAGAAACACAAACACAAAAGCACTGTCTCTAGCTCAAAGAAGGGTTATTGTAATGCAGTGGGAAGTTTATGTGCTATTTGTTATGATACACAGCCTAGAATGTAATCATTCCAAACAAAGTGTTATTATACACGGAGAGTAATCAAATATCTCAGGAGGGACAGTTTGGAAGGGCTCAATTTATTCTTACACAGCTCATGTAAGAAGGAAAGAACTCCTTGTAATTACTAAGACATCAGGAATGTTTATCTGTAGAGTATAAACAGTAGTTAATTGATTAAAATAATACCTGATTCAGGAGAGAGATGATTCTCTAATTCACTCTTATTTTAACAGTGCTTTTACTTTCATAGAATGACAGACTGGTTTGGGTTGAAATGGACCTTTACTCAATTACTTTAATCCGAGAAACAGCAGCAGGGTAAAAGATGAGTATGACTTAATTGTTAAGCCACAAATGCAAATGAATTGTCCAATTTTGACTGTATTTTAAAGCTTCTGAGGTTTTCCCACTAAGAAACAGCTTCACATAGTGCCCCCTTAGCTCCACATTTGGGGTGAGGGCAGGACTGCCTTTTGCAGTAATAATTCAGATTAAGACCATCTTAACCTGCTTGTAAATCCATACCCTAAGTATTTACCAGCTTATTACACATCTACCCAAGCTGTGTTCAGGAAAGGCTTCTAGTAACAGAGCTTTTGCAGAGCTGTGGAAGGAAATTCATCTGAAACATCTGCTGAAGGGCCCTGAAAAGTGTTTCTGTGTTTGATGTTTGCAGAAGGGAAGGACAAACCCTCAGGAGCACAGATGTTCCTCCCAACAGCTTGGCAACTGGGAAGGATTCAGTTCAGCTATTCCCAAACCACTGAAATCCTGGCTGGTATCACAGACAGTGTCAAGGTTACCTTATCAGCTGTGCATTGTCATGGGGTTTACGAGGTAGTAGTTTTAGCTTTCTCCAGTCCAGAAACTCATGAAGGCTGGTGAAAGGGTCTTGAGAAATGGAGCACTTATCCATGTCATTCCATACTTCCACTCCAACCAGGGCTACTCGAATGTTTAATGGCCTATAGAACTGATGAGGAAGAAAGAAAAATAGAAACATGTCTCTGAAAGCCATTTTAGACAGTGTTGGATTAGAATATTGCAGCAGAATCATAATGAATCTTACTTGTAGAGGTGAAAACAGCCTCTTTTCTTGGGCAAAAGTGAACATCTGATAGGACTGAGTCAGGCAAACTATTTCCATGACTTTTAGAAAAGTTCTGACCTGACTAAATGACCATAAGGCATTCAAAGGGATCCAGAGATATTCTGGTTCTCTGTGTCCTGCCCAAGTTTGGCATCTTCCCTCAAGATCACAGAACGGGTCAGGTTGGAAGGGACAACAGTGGGTCTTCTGGTCCCACCTCGCTGGATTGTGTCCAGATGGTTCTGGAATATCCCCAGTGAGGGAGAATCCATGACCTCTCTGGGCAATCTGTTCCAGTGTGCAGTGACTTACACAGGAAAGAAATTCTTCATGTTCAGATTGAACTTCCTGTGCATCAGTTTCTGCCTCTTGTCCTGTCGCTGGGCACCATGGAGCAGAGCCTGATCCATCCTCTTGGCACCCTCCCTGACAGACATGGATGAGGTTCCCCTCTCAGATATCTTTTCTTGAGGCTGAACTGACCCAACTCTCTCAGCCTTTCCTCATGAGATGCTCCAGTCCCTTAACACCGCAACTACCTTCACATGTCCTTCACTTCTGACTGGACTTCTGGCCATGGCAGATGACTCTGCCCAAGGCTTCTCTCCTTCAGTTCAAGAGGGAGGAGCAGCTGTGCTGCACTAGGGTTGTGCTTGAAAATAACAGCTGAGAATGAGCCAGAGTCATCAAGTCTTCCTCGCAGCAAATAAAAACAAGTGATTTTATCACTGGGGGCTACATCCACTATTATCCCACTGGTAAATGTCAGCTTGCTGCAAGAGGGGAGCCAGAGCAACATTAGAAATGGAGCTGAGATAACAATTCTAATGTGAGACTAATGTGAAGAAGGATTCAGGAATCGATCAAGCCCAGGTTGGGCTGACAGTCTGAAGAAAACATATACTAGATCTTTGTCTTGTTTCTCTGCATTACAGACATTTGGATAACAGTGGCATTTGCTGAGCATAAATTAAGCATGAAACAAAAAAGATATTACAACATGCAAAATTAATTTGGAGCAGGTAACATATAAACACCTGTCCTCCAGTAATAAGTCAGCAAGACAATTATGGATGAGGCAGAGATGTCTTCAGCAGCTTGTTTTTAATCAGGAATGTTTCTCCTTGAGCTATTGCCCTTGAAGTATCACTTGATATGTTCTCAGATAAATTAAGACTCTCTCAGTTATAATTTCACTACTGGACTCCTCTAATTTTTTCTGGCTGTACAACCCAACAGAAATAAACTCTAATTTGTTCAAAAACCACTGTAAAGGACTCTTAGCCTTTATTGTTTACTGTCAAGAAGTTACTTCAAAATCAAAATTATGTCTCTTATTGCTCTCAATCATCAACTTCTGCTTCCTTAAGCACTGCATATTGTTAATCCTGTCATATTACTTGGATGATATATCTCACTAACTGTGTCTTCACAAACCCTTTGTTGGCCTTACAACTGGACTTTTCCTCCAAATTTCTCCTCAAAATAATCCTCTTTTTTTTTTCTCTAGGCTGTTCCATATATGATTATTAGTGAATAAAATCCTAGGAATAAATTGCACCTCTCCTTAGGAACAGGGAGAGGTGCAATGTTTCCATGTGCCTATGCATCCCATGTACAGCAGAGCAGAACTCATGGCTTAGTATACTGAAGGACATAGAAATGGTTTAAAAGGTTTTTGGTTTTACTGGTTGGAGAGAATAATTTCTCTGAAATACTGGAGTTTTAGGAAAGCAGAAGCGTTGGCTCCTGGAAAAGGTGAGTGGATTAGGAGATGTGGCAAAGGCTGTGAAAGCTGCTGATCTGAGCTTGCTTAATTTACTAGTAGGAGAAACACAGATTTCACAGCAACATCCTTCAGAAACTGTAGTTAGCTTGGAAGAAGTGAAGTAATTCTCATGTTCTTACCTTATCAACGTAGTTTGCAATTTCTATCAGCCTCTGCTTAATTTTTTCCACGTCCTTGCCTTGTCTCTGAAACTTGGAATGTAAACCAGTGTATCAGCAGCACAAACATCACAGTTTCCCCACAACAGCCACCTATGTCTGCCAGAGAGGTTTGGGAATTAGAGTGCAACCAAAAGCCACCAGCAGACTCCTGCTGGATTCATGGGACTACAATCTGCCTCAGAATAAGCATAGGCTGTGGGATAGGATTTTGGCTCTTGTTAAAAGATTTTACAATCCTTAAGTCTTACGTAGGAATCTTTCAAGGACTGGTGTGCAAAAGGCTCTTCTCTTAGCTGTTCTGCAGCAAAGCGATTGCAATTTCCTAACTAGCAGTGTTCAAGGAGACCCAAAAAAATGTGAGTAGCAAAACCATTCACCCCAAGATTTAGACCTTTGGCTGCCATTCAGCTCACTGGAACATTTTGACAGCCAGGGCTGCTTACTGGCTTTGAAGCTCTCCCTGCACACCGTCAGGAAGGCACTCGTGCTTCATGCAGTGTGATGGCAAAGTGCTGTTCAAAAGCACTGACAGTCCCACTGAGGGCACAGAGACTGGCAGTGAAGACTTAACTTGCTCAAGGAGACCCTGGGCAGTGAAATAATATTTGCCTCTTCTTCAGTGCTGACAGATATCCTAGTGATTTGAGAGTCACATTCCTCATGGAGTATTGCAAGGAATTTTACACTCGACTCACAGCATTGTCCTGTCTGAATAATTCCTTCCATTGCTTAGCCCTAATTAGGGAAGATGATTTACTTCATATTATTGACCGAAGCATGTTACTCACAGCACCATGAACTGAGCTAGCTATTTCCTCCTCCTGCTTCCCATAACCTTTTATTTTGCTGTTCCTTACCTCACGATTATCTGCCACAATAACAAGCTCCACATACTTCGTTGTCTTCAGAGTCTCCCTCTTGTACTGTCAAAAAACCATGAAAAGAGTATTTTGTTTTCCACCTCAGAACAACAAAGTAATTGCAAGAGGAGATACACAACATCTCAGATTTCCAAATCTTTCACTATGTACAAATTTGTGCTGTATTCCTTCTCCTCATGGAAGTTTTCCTTACAAAAACCCTCAGGATTTGATCACAGCAAACAGGAGAGTGGTGCAAAATCTCTCTCAGCCTTTCAGCTTTCTGCAGCTGAAATGTTTGAGTTATCTTTCCTCAGAGGAGAATATCACCTCTAGCAGAAAGACCTTTGCTATTTCCAAGGCACATTTAAAGAAGTGATAACTTCTAGCAAACATTTCACACAATAGACAAACTGACTACTAAGAAAAATGAAAGATAAAGGGATATTGAGTGAAGCAGAGAAGAGGTCAAGTGGTCAACTGATAAATTATGTAGGAAGAAAAAATCAAGAAGAAAAAGGCAGAAAAAACTGTCAGTGTCTGGGGAAGCAAATTAATACTCTAAAAATGGAAGGCACACATTTAATTTTGTACCTGCACATTCATATAAAGAAGCTGGTTATGCTACTTGCAGTCCTAAATGCAGGTCTGAAAGAATTGTAGTGTTTAGCTGCAAAAAAATATCACTGGAGAAAATGAAATGATTTTGTAACAGCACAAATCAGCTTCTCTCTACCCCAGATTTAGTGACCTATTAATGTCTTTAAATTTTTGTGATTTACAGCAGTTGAGCATCTCTTCCAGCATTCCTCCCTTGCTTCTGGAATAAGACAGTTCAGGAAAAGAGGGCTCAGCAGAGTATCTGAACTTTTGCCAGAACTTTAGGGGCTTAAGCAGATGTATGACCTACTACTGACCATGATGTCTTGAACTAACTAACCAATGACTGTCTAACCTAAAACATGACTAAACCTTCCAAACCAAACTGTTCCAATGTAGACGGTGATCTACTAAGCTAAATCAGTGCTGGACATCACCTTCCAGCCAAATTTCATGAAGTTTTCTTCACGTTACCAATCTGTTCCTCTCTGTTATCTGCAAATTAACGATTTTGTGTGTTTTGCAAGAAACCTCATGTTTGGAGGAAAGCGAAAAATGTAATCTTTGGCAGATTTAGCAAAAACTGTCAATATTGAACTAAACATCAAGAGTAGAAACACTTGACAGAAGGTCAAACTGTTACACTTATTAGAAGGTCTGGCAAATGAGCTGATGTAGGTACTCTCACAACTTCTGGTATTGGGGCTCTCTGTCATGTTCTTGTGCTCTGCTGGAGGCAACTGTCACCTCCTTGGGGTCGTGGTGTGTGCACAGACTTGGTCACAGGTCAGCAGCAGCAGTGCCTGGTGATGTGCTGGCTGGGAACCAGGACACCAAGGACTCCTGGAACAGCAGCAGATGCAACACACAGGGTCTGCCATATCTCAGAAGACTTCAGCAAAGCCTACAGTGCTTGGGCAGAGCTCAATTTCATAGAATCACAGAACCATGGAGTAGGTGTGGGTTGGAAGGAGAGATATGTATCCCCAAGGTGCCCCTCATCCTCTTCCAGATGAAGAAGAAAAGGTGATACAGGAAGATCCAAGTACAAAGATACAAGAAGACATCTGTTACATCCTTCAGTTTCAAACATTTACTTCCTACCAAGACTAAAACTGTTTGGACCAAAGAGAGTTAGCTGGAGAGCAATTGGCTAACAGGGTATAATCACATAAGCCTCTGGGTGACTGACTTGCATAACAAATCTGTTCCTGTGACTTGCCCAGAGGCTATGTGCATTCCTTGGATACAATATTTATTTATAAAATATCCCCAATTATGACTTCTTTCAGCTTGCTCTGCAGCCAGCTGCACAATGCACAACCCACTGCCTGAGCTAATCCTCCAGAATGAAAATGAAGAGTCAGTGATATAGCCATGATACACATACGTGATGGGAGACAATCTGCTTTGTTCCAGGCTGTTGTCTTTCTTCCCTGCTTCTACCACACCTGATCCTACCACAAAACTACTGTCTCATGCAGCTGTAGCCCTTCCTCACACTTCCCTGCCTGGGAATTGGCATGACTTGGATTCACATTCTCTCTGTCTCTGTGATCCACTTGCCCCAAACAACTCATCTGTGATCCACCAGCACCACCAAAATGCCTATATTTTGTGGCTACAGACAAAACTCCATCCTGCAGGGGCTGTCCTAGACATCAGACTTGCTTTCTGTAGGTTTCTATCTCAATGGAGCTCAGCTGGAAACACATTCCCTGCTGCAATTTGAGGGTCCACTGAGTCATGAAATGACCCAGTATTTATAGAGCCCCAGCTCCAATGGGGCAAAACATGTCTGCAGGCTCTGCTGCAGCACCTGACTGGCTCTGTTGAAGCTCATGTTTGGATCTGGGAAGCTGAGTCTACTGTTTGCCCCTTCATTTATCTGTACTTACATCTAATCCAAAGGCTAGGCTAACTCTGTGGTATATTGATCTCACATTTCAGCCCTGCTCGATAAGAATTTAGTGTAGGCAGTTGAGTGAAGAGTCAGGGAAAAAAAAAAGAACAAAAATCTGCCCCCAAACCTGTCAAGAAACCAAAACTTTTCATCATGCCCTGAACCTGAGACTCAATTTCTGCTTAATTCTGTCACCCAATGTAATTTGGAGCAGCCTTCTGTTTTCCTACTTTGCAGGTCATCTTTATTCAGTGTGTCCTGACAGTCTGCTTAGCTGATGACAAGACTGAAATGTGAAAACTTACTCCACACATTGCATTTGACAACCTTCAGAATTCCTCCATTAAAACTGCATCCAACATACTCATTATATATATTGTACCTATCCATATGATGTGACTGTTGACAGGTTTTATAATTATGTCCACTGAACCACAGCAAAAATAGTTTTCAGATATTTGAAGTGAATTCTGGGATGTAGTCGAAGCCATCAACAAAATGGGAGAACCATAAGGGTAATAATAAAGTTGCTTTGATTGTTTCAGCTTGTGATATGCACACATTGCATTTCAGTGTTATATTGATCACTTAGAATCATGGAATAATCAAGGCTGGAGGAGACTTCAGATCATCAAATCCAACCATTAACCTGTCACTACTGGAACTCCTAAACCTTAAACCAGATCCTCCAGTGCCAGATCCAGATGTCTCTTAAACACCTCCAGGGATGGTGACTGCACCACCTCCCTGGGCAATATTCCAGTGCCTCAACACCCTCACAGGGAAAACATTTATCCTCATACCCAATCTGACTCTGCCCTGTTCCAGCTCAAGGCCATTCCCTCTAGTCCTCTCCCTGCAGCCCTGGCAGGACGCACATCCCACACCTCTCTCCAGCCCTGGCAGGAGTTGCAGAGAGCCAGGAGGTCACCCCTGAGCCTCTTCTCCAGGCTGACCAAGCCCAACTCCCTCAGCCCTTGCCCATGTGCTCTAGCTCTTTGCTGCCCTCATTGCCCTTGGCTGGACTCGCTCGGAGCCTCAATGGCCTTTGGGCAGTGAGTGCCCAAAGCTGAGCACAGCACTGAGCTAGCACCTCCCCAGTGCCCAGTCCAGGGGGATGACACTGTGCTAGTGCTGCTGCCACACTCTGCTGGAGCCAGGCCCAGATGCCCTTGGCCTCCTTGGCCCCCTGTGCACACTGTTGGCTCCCACTGAGCTGTGCCACCAGCACTGCCCGGTCCTTTGTGCCCAACACCTCTGTCCTCACTGCTCCCCGAGCCTGGAGCTGCACAGGCTGTTGTGTACTTCAGAGAAATTCAGTCAAAGGTCACAAAGAATTTGAGGGAACCTTAACCGCATTATAAAAAGTACTTTTCTGATTCTTTCAAGCTACAGATATTTTTAGCAATGCACTCAATTCTTAAAATGGTATAAGCAAAGGCTAATGCTTTAAATGGAATATTTAATATTCCTAAAATGCAAGATAACTTAATTCCACTGCACAAATAATATCTAGGGATGTCATCAGTGCTGCTTTCCTTAACAACTGACCTGATGGAAAGACTTAGTCAAACATGCAAGTACAAATCCCCAGATGTGATATTTAATAAATGCTGAGAGCAGATTTGTATCATTATGTGATTTCTCAACACCTAAACCAGCCTTTTCTACCATCCTCATCCAATATGCAGCAAACTTATTACACTATTTCCTCTCCTGGATTTTTAGCTCATTTAATTTTCTCCAGTTTCCATTAGGTAGATACTTTCCACATTAAATGCATTTCTGCCTACATAAAAGCAACTACAATAATACATCTGTAAAATAATATGGTGAGAATTTGTTTTGTCTGCATAAGAGACTTTTCTATGGGAATATAAAAGTTCAAAACCTGCTCTTAGCAAAGCATCACAGCTATCATATTCTCCTCCTTTTGGGTGGGCAAGAACTTTTCCAGACTTTGCTCAGTGTTCTTAGGGGGCTTAAATTCTGGCTATGATCATATAAGAACCAAAATGTATCATCATAATATGAAACCATAAACTTTTCTGTGTTAAAAAGAAAGGAAAAGGCAATGTAGAATCGATAAAAGGTAATAAAGCTTTCACAAGTAAGTTTAAGCATAGACTTAAGCAGATGACAGCAACAGAAGTTGATGGTGTGGGTTAATGCTTTGCTCAGCAGAGACTCTTTATAACAGTTTTGGTAGGCAGTAATATGGAAACGCTGCCAGAGATGTACTCAACCAACCAGACACATAAAAGCACATCATCCACCTACCCTGCCAGCTTGAGAATGGTGTGATGTGTCACTGTCAGCAGCTCCCATGGCAGTGATGTCCAGCTGGTGGCCACAAGATCCTGGGGCTATTTTCAGACTCTCTGCTCGGTAGATCTTGTGTTCACTTGTAGCACCTTCTAATGGCTCCAGAATGTAGCCTTTGTTTTCAAATACAATAATTCCCCTGGGACAGAGGAGAGCAGAGTAAGATGCATGGTTTTCAAGAGCTCACATATGTTTGTCTACACCAAAGTTACAACAGGTTTAATAATGATGGAGTATGAGAAAACAAAATGCTGATTTACAATGTCACGGTCGAGTGGAGCAAGAAACATCAAAGCTATATATTTGTCATTGCAGCACACACTATACTTTAAAAGAAGCAATGGCTCCCAGAAAATTTGTCTCTTCTGAAGTGCTGCACTGCAGAGCAAAATTCTATTTGTGTTTTATTTGTTTTCCATCCTGCCAGTGATGCATTGGCAGAGCTGAGCCGAGTCACGGCGCGTGTGCTTCGCAGGACCCATGGCAAATGGGAATCAACAAAAGCCTGGTGAAATGCTTTTGTAAGGAAAGGTACAGCATGAAAGCATTCATTACAGTCTGCAGTATGTGTGCATTATACCTTTTAAACCCAGCCCTGATGTGAGAGTCAGCTCTGGCAGATGAAAGAGGCCTCGTGGTGTCAGAACGCATTATTAAATGTTGTGCAGTAGGGCAGCAGAGTGAAGCTCAGATATATTAACAGTGGAGTCCTGGTTAACTCATTTTACTGCTCAAAATAATAATTTTGACAGCAATAGAACCTGCTCTCTGAGGATCTCACAGATTTGCCACCAATGAAAGCACTCTTTGCTGCACTAGTTTCAGCTAAAGTCTGCAAAGAGAAAAGAGGGTAAGAGAAACGCCACCATGCTCCAAGATGTGGAAGAAGCCAGGACACATAGCCAATTCATGTGCTTCTTCCTCACCAAAAACCTCATAGCCTGTATACTTCAGACAACACACCAAAGGAAAAACATTCTTGGATTCTTGTACTGGGTCCTGCCCAGTTATTCTGAGATGCTACAGCAAACCAAAGTTGACAAAAGATGGGGTATCTGACAGTCTAAGAAAGTAGGAGCTGTTCACCCTGGAGAAGGGAAGGCACTGGGGAGATCTTAGAGCACCTTCCAGTTGCTAAAGGGGCCCCAAAAGGGCTGGAGAGGGACTTGGGACAAGGCCCTGGAGGGACAGGGCACAGGGAATGGCTTCCCACTGCCAGAGGGCAGGGACAGATGGGATATTGGGAAGGAATTGTTCCCTGTGAGGTGCTGAGGCACTGGCACAGGTTGCCCGGAGGCTGCTCCATCCCTGAGAGTGTTCCAGGCCAGGTTGGATGGGGCTTGGAGGAACTTGGGCTAGTGGAAGGAGTCCTTGGGTAGAGTAGAATGAGATGATCTTTAAGGTTCTTCCAACTCAAACCATTCTGGGATTCTAAGATCTTTCCAGTTCCGAGGAAGGCTGCTCTCTCAGCTCAGCACTAGAAACACAGAGTGTGGTGTGGGTGTCCATGGCCTGTGCATGCTGGAATAAGGTTTCTGGTACTAAATAGCATAAAGTAGAACAATCTCCAACAAGATCACTGGAATCACTAACTACAACTGCAACTGTAGGACCACGAGGCAAGAAAACTTGGGAACATCAGGACTGGCACAGCACTAGAAGGTATGAAGTGGATTTACAGACAGAGCTCGGGTAGAAATTACTGAGTAAGAAAGGAATTGAATATCCTGCACCTGACTTGCATTCTGAGTACATACTGCTAACCACACAGGAGGGTCCTAGATAATTTCTACGTGGAACTGGACATCAGGTTTGGTGAGTACCTGTGTGACCAGAGAAAAGCACCCTTTAAAACCCATTTATCTTTATAAACTAGGGATAAGCATTTGCTCGTGGGGTGTTGTAAACATTCATCAATTAGATACTACACTTCATTACTAATTTCTTCCTTGTCTTTAAATTATGAAGGCTTTAAACCCTTAAGCACTGGCAAAGGCTCAGCAGCAATAATTACAAGCTACCTACTAGGTACTCCATGAAACTTTTAAGTGGCCAAGGCATTCTTCCTCAATTCCTCTTCTAAACTGCTCCATACCATCTATATATGCTATTAAACAGCAATTATTTCCAGCCCAAAGCTGGCTGTATTTTATTAGCGTGTCTTCTTGGTGTATTAGAAGTGTCTGCCCTTTTTATTTCTGTCTGTGCTGCTACAAAGGTAAGATACTACAACCATTGTAGTGTCACTGTACAATTCTTCTGCAGAAAGCTAAAAAGAAGGGAAGTAGGAAGGACTGAAAACAAGTTAATGACACCATAAAGAGTGATTTAAAAATAAAAAGTAAAATTATGAGGAAAAAGCTGCCTTGGCTATGCTATTCATAGCAAGATACGATGAAGAAACTCCGTGTCTTTGATCTCCTAACCAGTTAACTGTAATATTCAGAATCTCAGAATCAGTTAGGTTGGAAGGGAGCACAGTGGGTCATCTGGTCCTACCTCCTTACTTGAGCAGAGTAAGGAGGGACACGGAGCTCATCTTGTACTACATCCAAGGAGAGCATTGCCAGCAGGTCAGGGAGGTGATCCTGTCCCTCTGCTCAGCCCTTGTGAGGCACAACTGGAGTGTTGTGTCCAGTTCTGGGCTCCTCAGGCCCAGAGGGACATGGAGCTCCTGGAGCAGCTCCAGAGGAGGGTGACAAAGATGCTGAAGGGACTGGAGCAGCTCAGTGATGAGGAAAGGCTGAGGGAGTTGGGGCTGTTCAGTCTCGAGAAGAAACGACTGAGAGGAACCTCATTAATGTAACAAGTACATGAATGGGAAGTGCCAAGATGATGAAGCCAATCACTCCAAGCTGCCTGCGCAGTTTTGCTACAGAACATCATTAACAGCAGTTCAGCCAAGCCAACAGACAACAATTTTACTGTTAACTAGAGCAGCTAAAAATCCAGTAGGAAAAAGAAGAGTGGAAAGCCATGCTATAAAACCTGTACTGTTGTACATCACCAGGAGTCTGCTTTGCTGATCTGAACCAAGACGCAGGGTCTGGTAATTCATTTGTAGCTTCCTCAGTCCCCTTGGCAGATCAGGTAGGATATATTCTCTCCCTGTGGCACACCATGCTGTGTGTGATGAATCACAGTTGGAAAAGCAGGACTGATTTACCACAGCAACCCTTGCAGCTCCAGCCAGGATCCATATAGCATCCATGACATACAGGAGACCTCGGAGCAGGTCACCCCATGATTTGAGTAACCTTACACCCTACAGCTCTAAATTATTTTCAGACCTGCCTTACTCCTTGGAGAATTTCGGAAACTAGGACAACATATTCCCTTTAGTCCAATAAGCAGTAAGTCTGTAATCAGCACAATCAGATCAGGATTGTTGTCTTTGCCTTGTGCAATTAATCATTGCATTCTGGAGGCAGCTGCAAGGAGCGAAGGAGGCAGGAGCACATTAGTCACTGTTTGAAATGGGCCAGCCTGACCAGCTCCCTGTGCTGACAGCTCAAACCCAACATAAAACCATGAAGGGTTTTATTTCTCACATTAAACTTATCCTTCTTACAACATTAAAAATTAGGCACTTAAATCGTTTTCTTTAATTATTTACAATAGAAAGGGAGAGACTTCATAGTGTCTTTTTACTGGGTAGAGCTCTCTCTTGATTTTGTTTTCCTTTTTAAAGCCAGCACCTTGTTTTCAGGAGCTCTCAGCCCAAACATGCCACATCAGTGCCAGGTTTCCAGTGTATCCCTCATACACCCAACTACTGTCTGAACTAACTAAATAACCTTTTCTTTGCCTCCTCATTTTCTTTAGCTGCAGAAGATATGGACAAATGATCAGACCCCAGAGTGATTAATTTTGCTTTTTACTGAGCATACCAAAGTCAGGGCAGTCTGACTCCCATCTGAAGTGACAGCATGAGCCTGTAAGGACAGTTCCACCTTTGCCTATGAAGCAATCCCATGGTAAAGGAAATCTGTACATTTGGCATAAAGGAAAAACATACTTTTCATTTGAGGCACACTTCTCCCTTGTGTGCTGCCTACAGGATATCAGCACTTGGCTTGTGACCATCTGTAATAAGATAATGAATATCAAATATGAATTTTCTTGGCCAGCTCTCTGCATTTGACTAATTTTCTTTTCCTACAATTGCATTTCCCCTCCATCAACCACTGCCAAGCTCAGCACCTTAAAACTGAACTAGTCAAAAGCTTTGGTTTCTTTCTTTTTTTTGGTGTGAACAATACCCACCAGTCATTCAGCACTAAGAATTTGATGCAAATAAAATAAATCCATGACTACTGTTTCCATCCACTTTCATCCTCTGTTATTCCTTCACCAATTCTGTGGTTCCTGCTTGAACATGGTTCTCCCACACTCCTGAGACAGTCTATGTTCCCCAAAGAACAAGATGGTGAAACTCCTCCAGTCTTCAGGAGGCATTAATGTTAAATAATAGAATGCTTTCCAATGTGGCAAACAGTATATGAAACTACAGATCCCCAACCAAAAGCTATACGAGGAAGCTCCAAGGGATTCCATCAACTCTACAAGTACTCAAGGTGGCTAGTCCTTACCACCAGGTTCCACTGAAATCTGTGGGATTTCTACCATTACTCCTACCAGGCAAAAAGACCAGCAGAATTCCCAAAGTTATAATATTTAGGGGGAAAAATGCCATATAAAGTACTCATTTTTTTGGTCTCCAGGTGTCTAATTCATGGCATCTGTGTTTTCCCCAGGCCCAAACCATACTGATGCTGGGGAGTCAGAAGGATCTTGCAAATGAGGTGGACAGGAAAGAAAAGAGACAATTCAAATCCTACCTAAAACCATCACTCTATCTTTTTCATCACTGGTAGCAGAGAGGGAGGAAAATATATCTATACCATATAGCATGTCCAGACAGCAGTTCACAGGCTCCAAGCCAACTGGAAGCAGCTCCAGTGTGGTCTTGAGCCTGAGCTAATTTTTTACTCTACCTTTCAACAGGGTTTGAATCCTGCTCATGTTTGGCGATCAGCACCAAACCAACCACATCCACATTGCTGCTGAGCAGCTCTGAACATGAACAACTCACTGGTCCTACTGTACTCCATTACATGCCATATAGACACACAGGGA